TATTGTTTTTCTATTTTTTATTTTATTGGTTTCAGCCCTGTTTGATTATTTCCTGCCATCGGCTCATTTGGGGTGGTACGGTTTCTTGGCTTCTTATTTTAGCGCTCTCAGGCGAGCTGTTAAGTTACTAATATGAGATCTCTCCCGTAGTGAAGAGCGGGGTTGCTTGTTCCGTTCTGTTCGGCTAGCTTATACCCAAAATAACCACATGGAAATTATATTAATTAAATTGTTGCCTGGCCCATTTGTTCTAGCCTCTTATTGGCTAACTCTCACATTTTGCTTTAACCCATATCTAGTAATCTGTGTGTTACCACGAGGTCATGGCTTACCGGGAAAGATGCATGTCTGACTCTTGTGACTCCGTGGTGGCTCTCTGCCTGCCTTCTTTCTCCCAGCATCCCGTTCTCTTTTCCCCGCCCACCTAAGTTTCTGCCCTATCAAAAGGCCAAGGCAATCTCTCTATTCAACCAATGAAAGCAACACATCCTACACCACTCTCCGTTTGTTTTAATGTAGCCACTGTGTTTGATGAACTTCTTAGAACTAATTTCACTGTGTCATAGGTTTAAAATACGTTTTATTTTGGTTTTCATTCAGTTCTAAAATGTTTTTACTTTCATTTTTAACTTGTCTTGACCCAATTTTATTCAATAATGAGTTGTTCAGTTTCCATGAGTTTGTTTACTTTCTGTTGCTGATCTCCCGCTCTAATCTGTGGTGCTCAGATAGGATGCAGGGTGCTATTTCAATTTTCTTGTATCTATTGGGACTTACTTTGTATATGGTCAATTTTGGATAAAGTTCCATGAGCTGCTGATAAGAAGGCATAATCTTTTGTGTTTGGGTGAAATCTGTAAATATTTGCTAGGTTCATTTGATTTATGATGTTATTTAACTTCTCTGTTTAGTTTTCGTCTGGAAGACCTGTCTATTGGCACGAGTGGTGTATCGAAGTCACCCACTGTCACTGTGTGAGGTCCAATATGTAATTTTAAATGTATTAGTGTTTTGTGTATGAGTCTGGTATCCTTGTGTTTAGTGCATAAATGTTTAGAATTGTAAGATACTCTCAGTATATTTTTCCTTTTATGAGTATGTAGTGTTCTTCCCTATCTCTTTTGATTTAGTTTTGATTTAAAGTCTATTTTTTCAGGTATTAAAATGACTACATCTGCTTGCTTCTTGGGTCCATTTGCCTAAAGTATCTTTTTCCATACTTTTATCCTGCCTGAGATTATATCTATCCTTCGTAATAAGTTGTGTTTCTTGGATACAACAGAAAGATGGATCATATTTTTCAAATATAGTTTGCTTGTCTGTGTCTTTTTATTGAGGGAATTGAGATTGTTAAATTAGAGAGTTATTGCTGGGCAGGGGTGGCACATGCCTTTAATCCCAGCACTTGGGAGGCAGAGGCAGGCAGATCTCACTGAGTTCCAGGACAGCCAGGGTTATCCACAGAGAAACAGAAACTGTTACTAAGACAATGAATAAAGCTGAGGATTCATGATAAGTGCAATTAACCAGCGACAAAGGCAGATACTCTGTGACTCGCTTAGCCTAGCTCTCCAGAGAAAGCGTGCAGGAAGACAGTAGAGTGGTTCTGACCAGAACCTGAGGGAGGAGGAAAGGATGGTTGTGTGCCAGTTCTGGAGATTATACAGCGAGCATGCAGAGGTATATAGTTGGTGCTTACAATGACAGGTGTTATACTTAACCACAGTTTTAAAAAGTATTCATAGACACTCCCTTTTCTTGGGTGTTAATTGGTATGCCTTAAAACTCCCTAAGTAAAATATATTTGGACACTAAGCTAAACAAGGAGATGTCTTCACTCTGGGCGTTGGGGTCATTGTACTCTCTTTTTATATGTTTCACAATTCTCTGTGTACTCTCCAAATGGGAAAAGGTATGAACAGGCAAATCTGTAGATGGAATAGCAAAGGATGTGTTTTGTTACCCCTTCCCCTTCTGTATTTATTTATTTATTTATTTATTGATTGATTGATTGATTTGGTTTTTCGAGACAAGGTTTCTCTGTGGCTTTGAAGCCTGTCCAGGAACTAGCTCTATGTAGACCAGAGCTGGCCTTGAACTCACAGAGATCTGCCTGCCTTTGCCTCCCAAGTGGTGGAATTAAAGGCGTGTACCACCACTGCCCGGCTACTCCTTCCCCTTCTAACAAATAGCAGGTTGCTTAGTCGGAGGCCCCTGACATCACAAGCAAGAAACTTAGATGGCAGGGACCATGAGGCTGAAGGGAAGGGAGAGAAAGAATGAATGGTCTTGCTTTGGAAGATCTCAAGAACCCTGGACCCAGTCAGACCTCTCTGAAACTTATAGGTGGACCTATTGTTATGGAACCAAGTCGGAAAGCATCCTCCTGCCATCTGATATTAGCTCTGCCAACTCTCTCAAGGACTCCCCGAAGCCAGTGACCACTGATTGTCCAACTGATTGGCTTGACTGAATTCTGTGTATTCCTGAAGGCCTTCACGTGCCGCGCAGAACCTCCACTTGAGGAATCTGTGGATGAAGCTTTGCATCTGGGCTCTCCCTGGCTCTCACCGTGGGCAAACTTTCCCTTCATCTCTGTGAGTGGAAAAGAATATTAAAGTATTAATTTGGTTTTCACTTCAACTGTGTATGAAAGAAAATGCAAAATTACCTTTCTCCTTTATATAAGATAGACTATTTCTCAAATAAAATGAGTCAAATTAGGCAGCCCAGAATGGATAGGGCATTAACAACATCAGACACCCAGGCTTTTAATTTGCTCCAGTCCTCCACCTGCCAGCTGTTTGGCTCCCTGCCATGATCTCTGCATTCCAGCTAGGAAAGAGGAGAAAGACCTTTCCCTAATTAAGGGAGTTTCTTGAAGTCCCACATAATTCTGTCCAATATCCTTGGCCGGAATTTAGGATTGTGTCTATATTCAGTATAATGAGAAGCTGGAAAATGAATTCGCCCGCCCTAAGACCCTTTGGGCTTGGAGTCACAGTTTCCACTGTATCTTAGTCTTTCTTCTCTCTGCTTCCTTCCCTCCCTCTCCCTTCCACTCTCCCTCCTCTTTCCCTCCTCACTTGCCGCTTTGAAGTTCTAATCCAGGGTTTCCCATGCCAGAAAACACTACCACAGAGCTACACCCCTAACCCCAGAATGTCTTTCTTTTGTTCACAACACCTAGCAGGGTGCATTGTCACCCAGTTACAGAATTAGGGAGGGTATAGATTTGCTAAGGCAAATAAGCCCGCAGGAAGCATCCTCAGACACTACCTGTCATTTGCTATGTAGAACGACTAATACCCTTTCCTCTTTTCCGTGGTGGTATCAAGTCAGAGGCAGAGTCAGAGGGAGGTGAGGTGTCCCAGCACAGAAGGAAAGAGAGGAGGGGTGGCTTCTGAGTGAATGCAGGAGAAATCAAACTCCAGGAAAACAGCTCTAGGAGGAGCCCACTTGGGTGTGCCCACTCTGAGAGCTATGTTCTGCTAGTATTCTTGGGTTTTGTTTTGAACATTACGTTATGAATATAAATATAATGGACCCTTGTTCCCAATCTCTTCATGATTCCAAGCTGCCTTTCCAGCTTCTACCCACAGAAAAGGTCTCTCCAGTCCTCTGGGAAGGAAGCGTCCTGTTTTTTTTTTTTTTTTTCTTTCCATTGCTGTCTAGTTCATTCTATTGCACTAAACTGCAGTGCTTTGGAAAGAAAACTATACCATTGCTCAACTGGCCCTCTTCTGATTTCCAAACCACCCCAATAGCTAGACCTGCAGCTTCTCTTTTAGGGAGGCCCATGCTACTTAGGTGGACGCACAGAATTGTATGCATGATCTAAACAAAATTTGCTTTTTAGGAAACACCCACACCAACCTCATGCTCACTTGTTTGGAGATTTGATCATGACCCCCGTCTGGACCCCCGACTTCCTCCAAGACCAATAGGCGAAGGTCTCCCAGGGATCGCTGGCCGGTGAGGGAGCTGCTTCTCCATCTGAGCTTACAAAGCAGCTCTGACAGCCTCGACCTCATTAGGTCACAGTAAAGCAGCCACGTTATGCTAACCCTCAGAGGCCGCTATGGCCTGTCCTGTCCTCTGGTTCTCCTCCTGTACTTCCTCTGGGCCACTCTCACCATGCTGCCTGCCCTCTTTTCTGTGTTCCTGAGGTGCCCACACAAGCCTTCCGTGTGTCTTGTTTCTCCAGCCTGACGTCATCATTTTTAGTACTGATTGACAATCTCCACTGAAATGGCCTGCATAGAGCCCCACTTTCGCTTCTCTGTGCCTGAGTTCCCAGTCTCCCAATCCCTGAGCCAGTATTCGGGACCTCCCTGTCCCTGAATTTCATTACTTTTGCACTATCTGGACCTCATAACCTCACTGTTCCGGCCTGGACACTCCTGCCCAAACGTCGAGCAGCACCAAGCAAGAAGGCGCATTTCACACTGGGCTTCTCTGCCATCACCACCCATCCCACTGTATTTTTTGGTCTTAACCCAGGACGTTGGTTTGGGAGTGGTTGACCTTGACCCAGGCTTCAAAGTTGGGCGTGGTGGCTCCCCTTCTGGTCTCCCATCTGTTGACTTCTGGCCGCAGTTTGGGCTCTCCGTTGTGCAAGGATGTGAGCCTTTTTCCTAGTCTCTCAGTACATGGAAGTCCTGAGAACCGTGCCCTAGTGTTACCCTCCAAATTTAGCTCCTCACTACGCCTTGTCTGAGCACACTTCCCATGCCATCAGGGATTGCACAACTAATCACCTTCCCATCCCAGTCGTTTTCAGATCTTGGTGGCACTTGGCGCACCTGTTGCCTCCTTGTCCTTGGCCCCTACTTTGCGCTGGTTGCTTTGCCTGACTCTCTCAGCTGTACTCTGAGCCCTTAGCGGTGCAGAAGGGAGAGTCCAACCCACTAGCAGCGCTGGACTGGGTCACACTAGAGCTTCCGGGCTCCGATGTTGCACAATCGCTGGGAGTTTATCAAGCAACCCAGTGGTTTTGCTTTGAAACGCGGAGCACTGGCGACCACAGCAGTCCAAGTGTCCTTCCCTTGCGAACCTGGAGCTCAAGGGGCGAGGGCCCCCGGTTCTGGGCCAGGAGAACCGGGGTCACATATGCCTAGCGAGAAGTCATGCACTCCGTTGTTCCTTCCACTTGTCTCAGTGGCGCGGGGATATCCCAGGACTCTCGCCCAGGTGTCTTGGAAGTCACCTGAGTAGCGAGGTCGCGAAGAGCGTAGCTGGGTCCAGTTCCAGGCGGTCAAAGGCCGCTTAGAAATGAAAGCAGCTCGGTGAGTCAGCGCGCTGAGAGGAGGCTGGCCCGCGAGGCGCCGCCCCTGGGTGGGGACCCCAGTCACTCTCCGCCGGCCGGGTTTGAGTCGCTGGCCTCGCGCACTTCCCGGGCTGGGTGGCCTGGACTCTTCAGACGGCAGGCGCGGATCATGGCCTGTGGGGCGACGGAGAGGGGACCTGAGCCCCCGGCCTTCCAGCGCCATCCAGAAGCCATCGCACCGCGCCTGGCCCACGGCTACGGGCTGCGCAGAGAGTTGCGGGACCTGGAGTTCGGCCGCTTAGCAGGTGAGAGGTGGGCGCGGGTACTCGCAGGGATATGCTGGTCTGGAACCAGCGTGCGAGACGATCTGTCTCATTTGGGGGGCGTCCTTTGCACTTGATCTTAGCTAAAAGACCAAGAAGAGATGGACTCCTCGAGAATCGAAAGTCTAGGAGAGATTGTGTGGGTGTAACCGGCTCCGCGCTATCCCTTCAGCAGTAGCAAACTTCTTGCTACAATTGTACAACTGTTCCGTGGTGCGAGACCAGCCTGACCTTTCGTTAGGTCTTGCCACACACTTCAAATAGGTTCTCTTTGCCTGCCTCTATTGCTGGAAGAATACCCCATTCTAAAGACCCCGTCACAGCCAAGGTCACACAATTCATAATATTGAGCAGAGGTGTTTCTGGGATGCCTCACACACGCCAGGGGTGCGCGGGAGGCTACTACACGCAGTTAGGAAAAGTGATTCTGTGGTGGCGACCAGCGATGGCCGAGACAGCGATCAGTGGACAGGTCTTGCAAGGCCACGACCCTCTCTCTCTATAGGGATGTCTTCTCTGTATTCTTTTCGAAACATTATTACTATTACTGTTGATATTTTAAAGAGGGTTCTTCTGGGCGGTGGTGGCGCATGCCTTTAATCCCAGCACTCGGGAGGCAGAGGCAGGCGGATTCTCTGTGAGTTCGAGGCCAGCCTGGTCTACAAGAGCTAGTTCCAGGACAGGCTCCAAAAGCTACAGAGAAACCAGAAAAGGGAAAAAAGAAAGAAAGAAAGAAAAGAAGGAAGGAAGAAAGAAAAAACAGGGTTCTGTGCAATCATGTAGTCCAGGTTGGCCTTGAATTCATTAAGTTGTCGAGGTTTGCCTTGAACTTTTGATCCTCTTTCCTCTGCTCCTGATGCTCTGGACTTAAAGGCGTGTCCCAAACTCGCCTGGCACCAAGCCTCATTTTTCTCTCTTCTGTTGCCAGAACAATGAGCAGAGCATGAGCTCTAGCTTGCTGGGAAACTGGAAGACTTAGAGAAGCATGCAATTTGAGCTTTCACAGGTCAAGCCTGTGAACCCGTGGGTTGGATCCGGTCACATACTTTGGGATCACAGGTGGAACCTGTTGACTGAGTCGGGAATTAAGCTCAGATTAACTGCAGGTGTAGCCCGGCCTACTGCTGCAGATTGACAACTCACCACTAGTCCTGGAACTTGACCAGGAAGGGGGTGCTTCAGCAAAGTTCAGAACCCACGGTGGAGCAGGAAGGTCATGGGCCAGGGTACACGGGTTTGTTCGATCCCCTCGGGGTGCTTGTCCCTGCTGTGCGTGGCAGAACAGTCTTTTACTATTTTGGAATAGTAACTAATTATTCTTTGGGTCTTGGGGGAGCTGAGACCTCCTCTTTACTCTGTAGTTGGAGCCTTGCAACTTATTTCTCCCCCTTCTTCCCGGTGCTTTGTCCCTGCCTGGAGACAGCCCTTAGCTTCTTTGCTACCTCCGTCCTTCCTCCCCCCCTCCCCCCGCCCTTACTAGGGAAACTGCCTACCAATCAGAAGTAGTCTGATATGAATACCCACAGGTGCAGAGGGCAGCAGGCTCCTCTGTTTTCTGGAGCAAATCCCAGATCCCAGGGAGTAATTATTTCGATGTCACGGATCCCTTATCTTCTCAAATCCTCTCCAACCCTGATCTTCCACACCCTTAAAGCTTCATAAAGGTATGGTCACGTCCCTCTGGCTCCTTTCTCTCAGTGAGCTGCACCCAAACTTGACATTAGCTGGTAGTAGCCACTCCTCCAGGTTGGCATTTGAAGCCTTTTAACACCCATGGTGATGGTATATAGGTTATTTAATTTCTTTCTTTTTTTCCTTCCTTCCTTCCTTCCTTCCTTCCTTCCTTCCTTCCTTCCTTCCTTCTTTCCTTCCCTTCCCTTCCCTTCCCTTCCCTTCCCTTCTCCTTCTCCTTCTTCCCTCAATCTTGTGACAATTTTCCTGCTTCAGCCTCTCAAGTGGTAGGATTGCAGGTGAGAGTCACTATACCCAGATGGATCCTTTATTTACTTAGAGAATTCCCTGAATGCATTGTGGTTGAGGTAGACACGCCCCCCCCCCCCCAGAGGGAGTGGGAAGGAAAGGAGAGAGAGATCTGTTTATTGTGCTAGCCTGGAAATTCCTATGTAGATGAGGCTTGCCTTTAATCTGCCTCTGTCTCTTGGGTGTTGGGATTAGAGATGTGCACCACCATGCTTGGTTTGAAATACACTTTGTGTGTGTGTGCACGTGTGTATGGAAACAAGAGAACGTGGCAAGTGTCTTCCTCTGTCGCTCTACCTTATTTCTTCAGGTAGGGTTGTAGCATGATTAATAAAAACCCAGAGACAGAAATTGGGGTTCAACCCCAAAACCAGAAAAGCAAAGCAGCTAAGCCACTAGAGAAGTCTTACCTCCACCAAGGCTGGGCGACTGCAAACTAAACCAGCCTCTCTCTCCTCCCATTGCATATTCTCTCTAGTGCTGGGATTAAGGCAAATGACTCCTTAGTACTGGAATTAAAGGTGTGGGCCACCACGACCTGGATTTATTTCTGCATTGTTCTGGTGTAGCCCATGGTGGTCTTGAACTCACAGAGATCCACCCACCTCTGTCTCCCAAATCCTGGGATTAAATGTGTGTGTCACCATTGCTTGACTTCTAGTGGCTTTATCTTTACCTTTGGTCTTCAGGCAAGATTTATTTATCAAAATACAAATAATACACCACTACCCAGGGTCTCACTGGTATGGAGTCTGCTGACTGTCTAGGCTGGCTGGCCAGTGAACCCCATCTCCACCTCCCTGCAGGTATGCGCAGCCACACCCAGCTTTCTTTTGCCCATCTCTGGGATGGAACTCTGGTCTCAGGCTTGGGCAGTGCTCGCTCTACCCACTGAGAAACCTTCCCATCCCTGAGGTAGGCATCTGTGAACTAAACAGGTGCTTTTTCCTACCTCTGAAAACACTGGCAATTATTCACTTTTTTTCCCATAGACATAAACTGGAGAGAGGCCGGGGAGTAACAACCAACCCAACGAGCCAGAATGACCTAGCCCCCATGCCTTCTTTCCCGCCCTGAGATTTTCTGCAGGACTGAAAATGTACCTGCTTAGTTGGTGACGTGGGCAATTAAATGTGTGCCCTGCAGGAGCTGAAAGGTTTTGCTTGACTGGTGGGATAGGGGTTTCCTGGCCCTAAGGAAGGGAATGTACGAATATCCAGCCGTGGCTGGGGCTGGTCTTCCCGCGTCAGGCGCTGACTGGCGATTAAAGGTGCATGGCCCAGAAGAAATCCTGGCCTCTCTCCTTCTCCCCCCCTCTTGCCGTTCCTTCCCTCTCCCTCTTTCCCCCTTTCCCTTCACCTCTTCTCTATTTATCTCTGAATATTAATTCAGAGCTAATGAAACAGCCAAGTATATCAAAGAAAATAAAAGTTGTTTGACTTCTCTTTCTACCAGACCTAATGCTAGTTGGCTTTCGGATCAATTGCCTGCTTTTCTTCACTCTGAAAACTGTGTTTACTGTGTTCCAGGCATCCAGCCGGGTACTGTCAAACTACCTACTAACCACCACTCCTCTTGCAGATGCCAGAACAGGGGTCCAGAAAGGCAGGTGGCTGAACCAAGGTTCTCTCTGGCTGGCTAACTTGGATTTGCCTTGTTGGCCTCCTGAGATCAGATCCCTGGTTCACCTAATTCAGTTGCCTTCTTTTGCAAGATTAACTGTTGAACCCCAGCCAAACAAAGCAGGATCTTCCTGAATGACTTCCTAGTTTCTTGGAAGATTCTGGGCAAGATGTACAGTGCTCCTCAGAGTCAGGGTCTCACCTTGATCTTCACCTGAAGATCTTTTTAAAGATTATAATTAAAATCTAAGAATGTATTTGCATGAGTGGTCATTTTGTCTGGCATATATCTCTGTATATTGCATGTGTGGCTGGTGCCTATGGAGGCCAGAAGAGGGCATCAGATTCCCTCAGACTGGAACTGTGAGCCACCGTGTGGGTGCTGGGAATTGAAGAGGAGCCAATGCTCTCACGTGAACATCTTAGTACATTGACTATTGGACTTCCAAAGCCTTTCTTTCAGTTTGATGAATTTGTATTTCACAATCTTCAGTGAATAATAAAAGAATTATTTTTAAAAAAGATGTTTTTAATTCTTTGAGAATTCTATATAATGTGTTTTGATTATATTCATCCTCCACTTCTCCCCCAGCTCCTCCCAGACTCAACCTCTACCTCTTCACATCCTCCAAACTCTGTGTCCTCTATCATCATCATCATCATCATCATCATCATCATCATCATCATCATCATCATCATTATCCACTAAATTCAATTTGTGTTGACCACACATACTTGTGGGTGTGCGACCATATGGAACATGGTTTTCCAAGAAAACACTTTAAAAACACTGGGCAGATTAGGCGATGTGTTTTAGTGGCATCAGATTCAAAAGATGGCAAATGAGGTAGAAGAACGGCCAAGGCACCGCCACTGGGCTCCACTGCCTTTGCACTGCCACCCCAGGGCCAGTGGCTGTCTGTCATCCGTGTGCTTCTCCAGTAGCTATCTGTGCTAATACATACGTGCCCCCTTTTCCTATGAAAGGGAATCATAACATTCTCATTTTCAGATGCTACTTACGTGAGGGTGTGGAGATATGACTAATAATGGTGATTGGGGGGGCAGTGAATAAAATGTTCCAGAATTAGGTAATGTAAGCACACTACAGCCACTAATCTGTCCGCTTACAGAGGATGGATTTTTTTTTATGGTATGTGGGTTATATCTTAATGAAGCTTTTGCAAACAAAAATGGACCCTGCATAATCCAAAAAAAAAACCCCTGTTAAGTGAATTAAAAAACAAATGGATTTATTCCTACTGTATGCATTTGAAATGATATCCCAGAATTCGCTTCATCTGAGTACTGTGTGTGTATAAGTACGTGTGTGTGCGTGCGCATGCCCTACACGAGCGTATGCCCTACACGAGCGTATGCAGATTCACAAGTCTGTGTGAGCATTTGTTAAGAGTGCAAGCCAACCTGTGGTTCTTTAGGCACCATTCGCCTTGTTTATTTGAGGCGGGGTCTCTCATCACCCTGGCGCTTGTGGCTCAGGCAGGATGGCTGGCCAGACTGCCCCAAGGGCACCCCGCTTCTGCTGTCTGCTGGTGGGGTCACAAGCAGGGATTCTGGAGCTCGAAGTCGCAATCCCAAGCCTTCACGGCAAGTGCTGGGCCAGCTGAGTTCTGGCCCAGTCTCATGTCAGTTCCATCTCATAACCGTGCTTTAGAAACAGCAGATTGATGTGGACTACCTGCCTGTTTATCAGAGATACATGCTCATGGCCATTCCCTTTGCCGTCTTGTGGTTTTATAATGTTGCATTGGATATCTTCACCTACAGGTCGTTTTGCAGAATCCTAGGCTTCATGAGATACACCTGCAGAAAGAATTGTTGGGGGCAAAGTGACTGATGTTGCCCAAATGCTGTTCTATGAAATTGTCCTAATTTCTCCCCTTATCAGCCATGTGCCCGACCCTTACCCTACAATGAGGCGCTATCTTCAGATTTCTGCCAATCTGATCACCATAGCGTAATCTCCAGCTTGTCTGAGTTTGTCTTGGGTGGGTGGGTGGGGGAGGCTGCAAGGGAAGCTTTTATCCTCTACTCAAAAGCTCTACTAGTGAATCCAGGCTTGACGACAGTGGCGTGGGTATGGGAATGAAAGGTCAGCGCTCCCCTTTCCCTGGAAACACTCAGTTTTCAGAACGAGCGTGAAACTGCTGTGTTGTCATTGGTCACCAGGGTGTGCTGGGCACTTCCTGGCTGGTGAGAGGGCAGCTCATCAGGCAGGTTCCTCAGGACTGCGTGCGTATATTAAGAAACACACAACAAGGAGTTCAGGGGTGCCAGCTGTGGTGCTGCACATCTGGAGTCCCAGCTCTGGGGAGGTGGAGGCAGGAGGATTAAGAATTCAAATCCATTGACCACATAGAGAATTTGAGGTCAGCAGGAGATATATGAAATCCTGTCTCAAAAACAAATGAGGAAACAAATGGAGACAAAATGAAATAAAAGAACGGGAACCAGTGTATTCACACGGGTCAGATTTACACGAAGTGTGGAGAAGCACCTGCAGCTTTATTTGTAATTAATTTTTTTTCAGGAACTGTCTACCTTGACCATGCAGGAGCCACTTTGTTCCCCCAGAGCCAGCTCACAAACTTTACTAAGGATCTCACGGAAAATGTCTATGGTAAGGAATATCACACACACGGATTTTAGCCAACTACACACAGCTGATTAATCAATTGATTAATTTGTGTTTAGTCATGTGGGATTCCTGGAGTACATGGGGGTACATGGAGCAAATCAGCTTCATGACAGATAAAGGGTCAGGCCAGCACCCTGGGTCATTGTGCATCATACACTTGTGCCTGAGGTAGAAAGTTCCAGCTCAGGGGCACACAGACCACTTGCAGAATGGGTTGGTGTCGGGAAGAGAATCTTGGTTGGAGAGTGCCATGTTTGGGGTGGGTAGTTAAACACTGTCCAGTGCAGAGGGTAGGGGAACATGAAGAACATTCATTCACTCTTGCTATACATTCCTTGAGTCGCTATGTGTGGTTTGTGCTATGAAATCAGAAGGAAACGTAGTTCCTTTCTTGGTGGAGACTTTGGTTCAGACCTGGAGGACACGATCTTAATCAAATGATCTCAGCTACACGTGCTTAGCAACTGTTCAAAAGTCAGTGCACGAAGGAGGCTGGCATCATGGTCACCTGCGTTTGCAGAAAGACAATAGGGTTGGCAGTGTGCTTGTTAGGGGGGTTGGAAGGGGAGCTGATGTTGAATGATGAGCCAGAATTCACTGGGACAACAGGAGGAGACACCGTGCAGGAAGCTCTAGCAGCAAAAGCCAGGATCTCGGACCACAGAGGGGAGGAGAATGAAAGTCTGAATGGATAGGCTGATGGGTAGGGCCACTTAGGCCTCTGTAGGTGATGCTGTGGTGGCCATTATTCTAGGAAGCATCAGCATAGTGTACTCAGAAGATCAATCAAAAGAGACAAATAATGCCAATATCAGTTGATCAATATGTCATTCACTGAGCAGGTGCTGCCTAAATATGTAGCATGTATTATTGTCATGCATCTCCAAGAGTCATGGGTTGTGCTATTAAGTTTATGTAGCGTAGCTGTTAGCTGTTTCCTCCAGGTAGGACATGGCCTCCATCTTGAATCAGAGGACCTCTGGTCACCTGTATGAGTCCCTCACAGGGTGGGACCCATTGATGGTCCCTTGTGGAAGGCTGATGAGAGGGCTCATAGGATTCAGTAGCAAGGTCCCCAAGGAGGCCACCATCCCCAGGGTTTATACAGTAAAACAGTTGACTGTGTTGGGACCATTCTGTAGCTGGTAAAGTTGCCTGTAACTTGCCCAGGGGATGCACAGCTACCGTTGAGTGACCCACACTCTTGTGAGTGACCTCAGCAAACTCACTGGCTGTCTAAGCTGGTCTTGGGTGGATTTTTTTCTTTCACCTCGATGCTGTCTCTGATGTTTGATGTCTCCCCAGGAATAGTCTCCCAATATCTTGATTTACAGGCGAGCAAATGGAGCCCCAGTAGGGGCAAGTAACTAACCGAATGCTACACATTTACAAAGTTCTGGAGTTGAGGGAAGAGGGTCACCGGAGCTGTTTATCTCTAGACAATTTGGCTCCAGGGCCTAAGTCCTGGTCTTCCCACCCCAAGATGCCCTTGTTCATGACAGTCCTGTTACGCTACAGATACACACAGGGGTTTGAGTCTTCACTCTGGACAGTCAAGGGGTCTTTAAATCTGAGAAAGTCCCCAGAGAGGGGGCCACTGAGGGATTTTATCTTGATTTTCATCTGTGATTTGCGAAGAGACCTGAAATTATCCTGCAACCTTGACAAAAACCATAACTGTGGGAGAGCAGTTAGCCTGAGAGATGGCAGCTTCAAGGTCCAGGTGGTCCAGGTGGTCCAGGTGGTCCAGGTGGTCCAGGTGGTCCAGGTGGTCCAGGTGGTCCAGGTGGTCCAGGTGGTCCAGGTGGTCCTAAAGACACGGGGTTAAAAACTGACCTGAGGGAAAAGCAATGGGAATGTCTGCCAAGTCCCTCAGGCTGCTAGCTGAGGTAGAAAGAATGGGCATGAATACTAATATTTAGAAGGCAGCTTGACAGGCACATGGCGTCTATTTATTAGAGCAACAACCGTAAGTGCCCAACCAGGGCCTATGGCATCCCTAGCCACAGGCTTTTGGTCAGGTTCACAGTTAGGGCCTATGGCATCCCTAGCCACATGCTTTTGGTCAGGTTCACAGTTAGGGCCTATGGCGTCCCTAGCCACAGGCTTTTGGTCAGGTTTACAGTTCCAGACGTAAACCACCTGCTTGGCTTCAGTCAGAAAGCAGCTGGCTGCCTTCATTGTAGTTACGCAATGACGAGCATAATTTTTCTCCCAGCAGCCCGCACAGTACCTTCTGTTCTATAAAAAGCTTAGTATGTTTTTTGATGTTCCTGTCATAGTCAGTATTTTTTTCTTTTGTTTTTATTGTCAAACAGTTGCCCACTGTGTGAGGATTGTTGTACTTTGTCTACCTGTTCACAGTCCCTGGGCATTTCTTCTCCTTCCAGAATTTGGCTTTATGAATAGAGCCAGTATGAACACTTGTGTGGTCTGTATGGATAAAGCATTTTTATTCCTTTTGAGTATGGACCAAGAGTGGAATTGTTGGACCATATGTGACTTTTACGGTTTAAGTTCTTGAGAAATGGAGGGAGAGGGCTTTAAAGGAACACAGGGAGAGGCCATCTCGTTATGAGTTTCAATTAAAGATAATTAAAGCTTTGTCTCTGTAACCTGCCAGGCAATCCTCACAGCCAGAACACCACCAGCAAGCTCACCCATGACACCGTGGAGCAGGTCCGCTACAGGTGAGCCCCAGGGATGTCTGCTAAGAGGGCCACCTAGGTGGACGGACCTTCTAGTAGAGGTCTGTGTCCTACAGCCCTTCTGAGGGGGTTCAGAAAGAATTCAGCTAAAAAGCAGCATATGAATGGCAATAGTCAGGAGTTCAGAAGACAGAGGACATGCGTAAGTACAGCAGGGTTGGTGGCTCTGAGTGGGGGCTGGAGTGACGGGGAGTGGGGGTGGCCCAGGCTCCAGCGTGTCTTCAGGAAGAAGCACCATTTTCTGGTTTTCCTTTTTCTTTCTGGTTTATAAGTCAGGTTTACGTATTCATAATCCCATTATCATTTTGAGACAGGCTATCTAGTAGCTTGCCTCTAGCTCTCTTGTAGCAATGCTGGTCATGAACTCCTGATCCTCCTGTTTCCGATTTCTAAGCGCTGGAACTGCAGGCGTGCACCACTATGCTCAACTATCCCGTTATTTTCACTAGGTTTTGCATCTAGAGAGTTTTTAAATTGTTCCCCATGCATAATAACTGGTTTCTGGTAAATAATATCTACAAGGTACGTTATCTAAATCAAAAAATTCAAATTATTTCAAATTTGAAAGTGATACTAGTTTTGGATCAGGGCACCAGTCATAAAAGCAATGTACAATAGGCTGCTGAACTGAAGTTCATTGTGTTAGAGGCTGGAGAGGCCGCTCAGAGGTTAGAGTGCTTCCTACGCTTGCAGAGGACCCAGGTTTTGTTCCCAGCACCCACAAGGTGCTCATAATTGCCCATCATGAATTCCTGGGGACCTTATTCTTCTGTGTTCCATGGGCTCCTGCACACACATGGTGCACATACATCTATTCAGACCCACACATAAGAAAATAATGAATGAGGGCTGAGAGATGGCTCAGTGGTTAAGAGTGCTGCTTGCTCTTCAAAAGGTCCTGAGTTCAATTCCCAGCAACTGCATGGTGGCTCACAGCCATCTGTAATGAGATTTGGTGCCCTCTTCTGGCCTGCAGGCATACATGCAGAATACTAAGAATACTGTATACATAATAAATAAATAAATATTTTTTTTAAAAAAGAAAATAATGAACGAATAAGTATATTTTAAAAATTCATGGTGAAAGAGTGGGCAGAAGTACAAAGAAGAAGGTGAAGTACAAAATATTCAGGTTATTGTAGACATAAAACTTTGCTTAGAATTATTTATTTTATTTGATGTGTATGAGTGTTTTGCCTATATATACATGTAGCATGAATTCTAATTGCTCTTAATAATAAAAACCCAGAGTCAGCTATTAGGGGGTGAAGGCAGAAAGAACAGAGAAGCAAAGCTGCCAGCCACTAGAGTTCTTACCTCTATCAAATCCTCAAAGGGGCTGAACCTCTGTCTCCTCCTTCCTTATACTCCCCCTCCCCGCCCAGCTGTATTACCTCCTGTCCACCTCCCTAGTGCTGGGATCAAAGGTGTGAGCTCTGTTTTTCTTTTAGACTGGTCAAATCTCTTGTAGCCCAGGCTGGTCTTGAACTCCGGATCTTTCTACTTCCACCTACCAAGTGCTGGAATTAAAGGTGTGTGCTACCAGTGTCTGGCCTCTATGGCTAACTAGTGGCTATCTCTGCCCTCTGATCTTCAGGCAAGTTTGTATTTGTAAGAGCACAAACAAAACGTCACCACATGTATATGTATGTGCACTCTGCTCATGCTTCGTGCGCAGGTCAGAAGAGGGTGTTAGGACCCTTGGGACTGGGGTTATAGATGGTTGTGAGCTGCCAGGTGGGTGCTGGGAATAAAGCCGGGTGTTTTGCAAAAGCAAGAATGCTTTAAAATGCTGAGTCATCTTTCCAGTCCCCTTATAGATTATTAAAAATTTGGAATTCATTTATTAAGAAGGTCTGATCTTTTACCCGAGTCTGCTCTGGAGATTTTTTGTTGTTGTTGTTGTTGTTGTTTTGTTTTGTTTGTTTGTTTGTTTGCTTTGAGACAGGATCTCATGTATCTTGGACTAGCTCTGAACTAACTAGGTTGCTGAGGATGTCCTTGAATTTATCATCCTTCTGCCTCCATCTCCTGCGTTTTGGTATTGGCAGGATATAGTACCACCGTGGGTTTATGAAATACTTGGGGGTGAACCCAGGCCTCTTGGGATTTAGGCAAGCTTCAGCTTCAGCCCTGTGTTGTGAATTTCTGCTGTGTCCAAGCAGAGATGGGACTCCAGAGGCAAGAAGTTTAAATTTGATCTTTGTGAGAACTCAGGGTTATCCTTAGCTAAATAGAAAGTTCAAGCCCAGCCTATAGGGTGTGACTTTCTCTGCCCTGCCTCAACTACGCGCTGTGGCTAGGCATACTGGAGGTAGAGACGCCCTACTAGGTTGAGTAGACCTAAAACACTTGGAATTACTCAGCATGAAACAGAGGCCCCGTTGTGACACTGTGGTTCTTCCCAGGATCCTGTCCCACTTCCACACCACCCCGGAGGACTACACCGTGATCTTCACAGCCGGAAGCACCGCTGCTCTCAGGCTAGTGGCAGAGGCATTTCCGTGGGTGTCCCGGACCCCAGAGAACAGTGGTAGCCACTTCTGTTACCTCACTGACAACCATACCTCTGTGGTGGGAATGAGGAAGGTGGCTTCAGCCATGAATGTCACATCCACCCCAGTCAAGCCAGAGGACATGTGGTCACTGGAGGAAAGGGGTGCCGGAGCCTGCGATGCTGACTGTCGGCTCCCGCACCTCTTCTGTTACCCAGCTCAGAGCAACTTCTCTGGCACCAGATACCCACTGTCATGGATAGAAGAGGTCAAGTCTGGGCGGAGGAGCCCCGTGAGTGTGCCTGGGAGGTGGTTTGTGCTCCTCGACGCAGCCTCCTATGTCAGCACCTCCCCCTTGGATCTGTCGGCTCACCAGCCTGACTTTGTCCCCGTCTCCTTCTACAAGATCTTTGGGCTTCCCACAGGCCTGGGCGCTCTGCTAGTCAGTAATCACGTGACTCCCCTGCTGAGGAAAGGTTACTTCGGAGGAGGCACTGCAGCCGCCTACCTGGCAGGAGAGGACTTTTACATCCCCAGGTCATCGGTGGCAGAAAGGTAACTTTGCCATGGCATGTCCTGTGTCTGTAGCAAAGGCAAGCTGGCATGAGTGACTGGTAAGATTGTGCAAGCCGAGCCCAGGTTTGGAACACAGGTCAAGGGAGTTTGATATCACCGTAGGACATTCGGGGGCGGGGCTCTCAGATTTGGGAGGCAGAGATCAGCTGGAGTGTGCCATGGGTGGCTCGGTGAACTCTGCCCTGTGTGTAGCTTCTTCACTGGGGTGGAGGAGCGGATCTGCAGACAAGAACTGCAAGAGAAAGGAGTGAAAAGTAAGAGCCACAGGTGCCGGGCTTTGGCCTCGGCACTCACTGGTGAGAGATGATAGTGAGACACAGGGATCTTAAAAGATGCGGTTCTGAACGCATGTGCAAGCAGTTCAAAGCAAACTCAGTTTCCCAGAGGCTAGAGTGAACTCTGCTCGGCTCCTCGGCAAGAATTAACTAAACCCAAAGCCGGAACCTGGGAAGCAGTGTTGGTAGCAACCTCTGCAAGCCAGGCTGAGAAGTTACCAAAAACACCGAAGGCAGGCTGCCATTTGCCTTCCAGGTCTGAAGCCTTTCTCCAGGCTGCAGGAAAGGCTGTATGGCTCTTGCTGGGCACCTTCCCAAAGGTGGATGGTGGGACCCAGAATATTGAGTGTATCAGAGGCCAACATGGCGACTGACCTAGGGGACACCACGAGGTTGTGGTAGGAAACTAGCTACCGTACACTTGGTGCCTGAGAACAGCCCGAGGGGATGATGGCTTAGATTCCCATCCCATGCCCAGCATCCAGGTGCAGATTCAGGGTCACACTCTGGTGGTAGAGTCAGAGTTAGATATACGGTGGACTAATAGGCTAGAGATCTGGAATCATTCCCCACACAGCTACTGTGACTGCACAAGGCTTGACCTCTCAGAGACTTGTGCTCTTTTATGTAAACAAACGCATCAGAACGTATTATGAGGCTGTTGGAAATATCTTCCATTTAGGGCTTCTCCAGAGCAAATGTTCGAGTACAGAATTGTGAACCTGTGTGGTGACAAACACAGGTGACTTTTGTCATTCTAGCTCTTGGGAGGTGGAGGCTCCAGGTCATCCTTAGCTACACAGGGAGTTTGAGACCAGCCTTGTCTATAGGAGCCCTGTCTCAAAAGAAAAACAACAATAACAATGAAAAACAAGGTATAACCACCTCCTAAAGACAAGCGAGGAAGCTAACAAACTCCCCCTACCCCTAAACTAGGAATGCTAATATAAAACCTTTCGAACCCAAGTGTAGCAGTTTATTGTTTAGAATAACTAAGTGAGAAAAAATAGCAATTGTGATACACTGTGTCTTAGGTATTCCATTGGTGTGAAGGGACACCATGACCAAGGCAGCTTACAGAAGAAGGCATTTAGTTGCAGTTTGCTTCCAGTTTCAGGGGGTTAGTTCATGACCGTCATGGCGGATGCATGTGGCAGGCGTAGCACAGAAGCAGCGGCTGACAGATGACATCTTAGCTTAAGTACTCAGCAGAAAGAAAATGAGACTGGGCCTGGCTTTTGAAACCTTAGAGCCCACCCCCAATGACACACCTCCTCCAGTGAGGCCACACCTCCCAATCTTTTCCAAGCAGCTCCACCAATTGGGGACCAAGCATTCAAACATGGGTGCCTATGGGGGCCATTCTCACTCAGTGTAAATCGGGTAAAGACTCACTATGATTTAATCTGGTGTGTTAGGGTTTTATTGCTGTGAAGAGACACCATGACCATGGCGACTCTTATAAAGGAAAACGTTGAACTGGGGCTGCCTTACAGGTCAGAGGTTCAGTCCATTGTAGCCATGGTGGGAAGCTTGGCCGCATGCAGGCCCACATGGTGCTGGGGAAGGAGTTGAGAGTTCTACATCTTGACCCATAGGCAGCAGGAAGGGTCACTGACACACTGGCCAGGTTTGGGCTTCTGAGAACTCAAAGCCCACCTTCTAGTGACACACCTCCTCCAAGAAAGCCATACTGAGTCCAACAAGACCACACCTCCTAATAGAGCTACTCCTTATGGACCTAATGGGGTCATTTTTATCCACATCACACAGCTGGGTAACTAGGGGCCTGATGGCCTGGAGAGATGGAGCAGCTCAAGGGGGTGGATACGGGAGCGCTGGGCTGCATCAGAGCACGCTCCTTTGCTTAGATGGAGCACACGTAGATGTGCAGAGAACAGACAGTTCTCTCTTGCCTTTTTAAGCCCATCTCTGCACACCCTAGAGTGAGCTGGAAATGAAAAGCTCAGTACACAGGTGTATCAAGGGTGAATAGACCATGTTTCCGCCTTCTAGACCTTACAGTTCAGTGCATGGCTGCTGCTGCCTGCTTTCCTTCATCTGGATGTTTGGGAAAGCCTTCCCTCATCATCACCTTGTAGACTGTCCTTCAGTGGTCACCTCTCTCTCTCTCTCCCCTTCTCTCTCCCTTTCTCTCTCTCTCTCTCTCTCTCTCTCTCTCTCTCTCTCTCTCTCTCTCTCTTTCTCTCTTTCTTTGTCTCGGCTGGATCACAAAACCCAGATTAGTGTCCACATTACTCAGCAACTGAGGGTGACCTTGAAGTTTTTTATCCTCTTGACCCCACCCTGGTCGTGTTTATTTTGCTAAAGTCCTGTTAGAGCTGTCCAGCATCTCTCCTGTCCTGATCCTCCTGCTGCTGCGCTGGGCTTCTGTGAAGGGCCGTACGGGTTCCCTTTCTCTGTAGAAGGCCCTTTCCGTGGAAACTCTCAGGCTGACATCTTCTGAAGTCAGACTCCTTCTGACTTCTACTTAGCCTCCACTTAAACCTTCATTAGCGATGACTCAGCTTGACTACACTGTCTCTGTGTTTGCGCTTAACCTGCCTCGTGACTGTGGCTTGTTTTGTTTTCTCCGCCTGTTTGCTGAGCCTTGTTCCCTGCTCTGTAGGCCACGATGCTGTGGGAAAGGGGCCTGCTTATCAGTTCCCTATGCTTAGCACCTGGAACAATGCCTGAGGCACAGTGAACTGTCCGAGATGAGTTAATGAAAGTGCTGATGAAGTTCATGAAGTTTATGTTCATGAAGTGCAAACATAACAAACACTTTGTCAATAAAGAAGGTTACAATCATTGGTATTAATGAGACCTTCGTATCTAACCCAAACCTGCGCTTCCATACAGTTTGGAACTAGAGACTCCTTTGTCAAGTGCCTCACAGGACTCAGTGGGGTCCGCTTGACTTGATGCCTGTCAGTGGTGCCCTCTGGTGGTCAGAGTTGAGTATTTCACGAGTTTGCGGCCGATTTTGTCCAAGCTCCTCCTGAGACTCCCAAAGTGCATCTCATTTGTCTTTCAAGGCAGTGACTGTATTTTAATGTCCTCTGTCACCTGCAGCCCACTGTAGCAAGTATGAAGGAGTTGTGAAAACTGCAGAGCAGTTAGGGCCCGAATCAGCCAGGTGGGCTTTGGCATGCAAAACTTCTCCCATGGTGGGGAGAGCCAGTTTTATAAGCCACAGAAGGGAGCTATTAACAAATGCCCTCACCTCACACAGAATACATGTGGATTGTGTTGACCAAGGCTTGACAGCTTGTTCCCTACAGGTTTGAAGATGGCACCATATCATTCCTTGATATAATAGCGTTGAAACATGGATTTGATGCTTTGGAGCACCTCACAGGTCAGTGGACATATTTACCCAAGTGGGCTTAGCTTTCGTTGCTGTATCCTTAAGAGATTGCAGGTATAGATGTGAAGGAGACAAGGTCTGTGGAAGTGAGCGGCGTGCACTAAGTAGCTAGAGTCTTCGTGCAGTGAAGCTGGATTCTAAATGTCTTCAGGGTACTCAGGACGGCTTGGCAGGGTTGATTTTTTTGCTTTTCCAGGCACGACCACATTTTAACAGAGGTCATTTCCAGAGCCAAAGACTAATAGTTGTGCGTGGTGGAGGCATAGTCCTGGGTCCCTGGGCTGGCTGAGGTCTTATCAGCTCTTACCTGTCTGGATTTTCTCTTCAGCCCCATAGGGGAGCTGCTGGCAAACCCATGTTGCCCCCAAATGGAGTGGATGCTCAGCAAGTGTATTCATCAGGGTTCTCTAGAATGATAGAACCTACAGGATGAATCCCTCTCTATGTATAGAAAGGGATTTATTGGAATGAGTTTTAGGCTGTGCTCCAGCTAATCCAACAATGGCTGACTGTGAATGGAAAGTCTGAGAATCCAGGAGTTGCTCAGTCCACGAGGCCGGATGTCCCAGCTGGTCTGCAGTAGATGCTGGGGTTCCGGAGAAGTAGGCTCTAATGCTAGTGAAGGAATGGACTGGAAACAGGCAAAGAGCAAGAGCTTCCTTCTTCTGTGTCCTTACATGGGTTCCAGCAGAACCTCAAGATCTGGGTTAGAAGTGGACCATTCTACTTCAAATTAAGCAGAAATCCCTCGCTGCCATACCCTCCATTTTTAGGCAATTCCAGATAGAGTCAAGTTGACAGCTAAGAATAACCATCACAGAAATATTGAATGCCTTCTCAGTCTGGCACGCGGGGACCTGAGAGGACTAGAATTTAAACCCAGGACTTGTAAATAATGCCTGACCTCAAGCTCCTGGACACGCTTCCACCAGCTTTTGTACGATGCCTGCTCTTTCCTGACAAGAGCTATAGTGGCCAAAACACAGGCAGATGCCACTGCTCTTCCTGCGGGGATGATCATAAAAGTATACGACTGCGGTTGATTACTCTGGTGAGCCGGCATCACCTGGTGTGCCGTGCTCCTGGGAATTCTTTCCAGAACTTTTAGAACTATGTGGCATGACTGTTACCATTCGTGTGTGTGTGTGTGTGTGTGTGTGTGAGTGTGTGTGTGTGTGTGAGAGAGAGAGAGAGAGAGAGAGAGAGCGAGCACACACGAACAAGTTTTAGGATGTGTTTTCCCTCTCTCCCTGGTCTGAGGCAGTGTCTATTGTGTCCTTTCTGCTGCTGTGCTGTGCATTTCAGGCTAGCTAACCTGTAACCTTCTGCAGGCTCCCCCGTCTCCGCCTCCCTTCACACTGCAGCAGTATTGGGGCTAACCTGTAACCTTCTGCAGGCTCCCCCATTTCCGCCTCCCGTTGCACTGCAGCAGTATTGGGGCTAGCCTGCAACCTTCTGCAGGCTCCCCCATTTCCGCCTCCCGTTGCACTGCAGCAGTATTGGGGCTAGCCTGCAACCTTCTGCAGGCTCCCCCGTCTCCACCTCCCTTCACACTGCAGCAGTATTGGGGCTAGCCTGCAACCTTCTGAGGATTCCCCATCTCCACCTCCCATCGCACTGCAACAGGACAAGGGCTAGCCTGCAGCCTTCTGCAGATTCCCAGCCTCTGCCTCCCATCACACTGCAGCCGTCCTGGGATTACAGATTCGTGCCACTTTTTTGCAACATTCATGACTTTTTACCTGGGTTCCGGGCATCAGGTTCTGACCAGCAAGCTCGCGTGTGCTCAGCAAGTGCTTTCTCCCATTGGGCCATCCTCGTTCTCCTCTCACATCTGTACTGTGGTCACCACAGGTCACATCTAAAACACTTTTTATCATCTCAACTCACTTTTTATAATCTCTTGTCATTAAACAGTTTCTCCCTTCTCCCCATCCCCAAGTGACCCCCAATCTACTTTCTGTCTATATGAGTTTGCCTGTTTCAGACACCTTTTTAGATATAAAAGGCACAATAATACAATATTACTCACTTTAAACAGTTAACATGTGTTCATCCATTTGGCAGCAGGTAGCCTTAATTGCTATGCATTATGTTAAAACAATTTAACCAGTAAGAACAAAAATGAACTTAATCATTAAGGGCAAAAATGATAAAAAATATTGCATACTTTTTGCCACTGTCTAACAAAGGTCTAACTAAATAATTGAATGCTGTTTAACTATATGCATGTTACTACAAATATATATATGTATATGAATATATCTACAAGCTTACATGTATATAATGTATATAATTATATATTTAAAAGAATGTAGCAAGAATTCCTTTGGAAATATTCCATAAGAACAACAAAGACAAACTTATCCAGTGTCAATTTTGGGGCTGAATTAATGGCTCAGTAGTTAAGAGACTGGCTTCTCTTTCAGAGGACCCAGGTTCAATCCCATATTGACTCAAAACTGTCTATAACTCCAGTTCCAGGGAATCAGACTCCCTCTTCTGGACCCAACAGGTACTACACAGATGCCACACAGGCAAAACAAAATAAAAAAATAAAAATACATCAACTTTGTCATAAAGATAGCTATAGTTAAAGCCTGGGGTCTGGGTTGACCAGTTGTATAAGCATGTCTTAGACAGCAGTGAGTGACTTGCATGTGAAGTCCGTCTCTCTGCTTTTGTCCCTAGGTGGCATGGAGAACATACAAAGGCACACCTTCGCTCTGGCACAGTACACCCACTCTGCCCTGTCTTCTCTCTGCTATCCCAATGGAGCCCCTGTGGTGCGAATCTACAGTGATTCCAAGTTCAGCAGCCCTGACGTGCAGGGTCCAATCATCAATTTTAATGTGTTGGACGATGGTGGGAGCATCATTGGCTACTCCCAGGTGGGATTTTGAGTCATCTTTTTTTTTTTTTGTTTTGTTTTGAGGGAGGGTCTCACTCCAGCCCAGGCTGACCTTGCGCTCACAGCATCCTCCTGTGCCTACCTCCTAAGTGCTGAAATTACAGGTGTTAGCCACTGTACCCGACTCAAGTCATGAGGTCCAGCTCTTCCTATATTCATCATATTCATCCTCTTATACCAGGAATGTTCCTGTCTAAGCTTCCTTACTCTTGGCATTTCCTTACTAGTCCCCAGAAGGAGCTGTGAGGAAGCCCAGGCTTAAACACACTTATTTGTTTATCTGTTTGTTTATACACAGAATCTCATGTAGGCAAGGTTGGTGGAGAACTCACTAGATAGCCATGGATGACCTTGAACTCTTGATCTTCCTGCCTCCACATCCTGAGTGCAGACATTAGATGCACCCGTCATACTCAGCTCAGAGGCTTTACAGCTCTCATCAAGACGCGATTCTACTCAAGCTTGGCTGTGTGTCTTTAGCCTCCTTTACTTAGGTAGAGAGAAAGGGCAGGGAGCAGATGAGAACTCGCGAGAGTGGGAAGGCACCTGGAACAGGTAGAAAGGCAGTGTGGGCAGAATGTCACAGCTGAGGTACATGTAGCCCCACAACACAACAGACCACATTTATCTACCTATATATTTAAACTAAGCATTACCAGTAACCCACCCAGCTTTGAAGAAGCCCTACTGTCTGCCTTAGTCTATGCATGCAAAGACTTCAAAGGATTTGAGAACTGGTTAGGGGCAGTTTCTGTGTTGCACCCTTTGTGTGAATTTTTTTTTCCAGTGGAGAAAGAGGGAAATTGCTTTACAGGTTAGGAAGGGCTGGAGTCGGAACAGACTCAGCAATCAGTCAAAGCTGGAAGATGCTGCTCCTTCTTCCCAAACGCCCCAGAACACGTGCAGCTTCGTTACACTACAAACAGATTCTATTTCCTAGCTATGCACTGTGGCGCGATGCTACTCTGGAGGCTGAGGCTGGAGAATTCTTTGAGCCGGGTTTAGGGCCAGTCAGCACACACCCCATAGCCTCCAGGGGGCAGCAGAGAGTGTCATGACACCTGGACTGAGCATCAAGCCTGACTGAACCTTTAGTTGGAGAAATTAGAAACTGGACATAGATGTCATAAAGAATTCACATGATACTTGTGACACAGGCTGTGAGCCGAGATGGTGCTGCCCAGGCATCCCTGGGGCCTGCTCTGTGGTCAGACCCTGTGGTGGCCGATGTGAAGGATCAGCAATGGCCCCAGCCCCACTCACCGTTATTCCTCTGACGCTCCCTGGGAATACACAGGCTCCTCACTTAGACTTTGGTCTGGATTTGATATTTTCTCAAGCTGTAATTCAATTTCTAGGATACTTTCTAGAACGTTGAATAAACCGTAGATCCTGACATTGGTTGTTTCTCTCACCACGGTGATAGAAACCTGGTAAAGCCATTTCAGGGAAGGGGTAATTATCACTCACAGTTGAAGTGACATGGTCCGTCACTGGGACAAGGGTGTGGTGGCTGGCAGCTCCATGGTGGCAGGGGGATGTAACTGGGCCCTTTACCTTTCACTGCAGAGGAAGGAAGGGCTAAATTATAACTCCGAAGGCCCACAAATTAGCGGCTTACTTTTTCCAGTAAGACCCCACCGACCCAGGGTCCCACAACTTCCCAAAACATCATCAATGTCTGGGGATCAAGTGTTTAAGCATGTGAGGCCCTTTGGGTATTTTTTACATCTGCAACATAACAACCATGAATTCTAGAGCGAGGTCCAGACTCAGATCGCCTACTATTCTTTGTTAAGAAAGAGAGGTTCAATGCTGTTCCAGAATTCTGTTCCAGGCAATCCCAGCGAAACTAGTCACTTCTGACATTGATTCCGTGTTCCTTTTATCCCCAGGTGGACAAAATGGCCAGCTTGTACAACATCCACCTGAGGACTGGCTGCTTCTGTAACTTGGGCGCCTGCCAGAGGCACCTGGGGCTAAGTGACGAGATGGTTAAAAAACATTTTCAGGTCGGTACCAGACCCTGCAGCCCACACAGAGTGCAGCCGGCAAGGCTGTGTGGTGGCCGGTCATAGGGGCTGGTCATGGGGGGTGGTCATGGGGGCTGGTGGAGGCGGCTGCATCAGGCTCATCTTGCTAGCCAGGCCCCTTCTGTGGGCGGCCAAGGAGAGGAGGGGCTGATAAAACAGAAAGCACTTGAATTTATCAGCTCCGTGGCAGTATTTTCTGATGAATTTTTCACTTTGAGAGTAATTTATAAAATACTCTCTGTGTGTGTGTGTGTGTGTGTGTGTGTGTGCGCGCGCGCACATGTGCTGTAGCATGTGTGTAGCGGTTAGAAGACAACTTGTTGAGTTGATTGTCTCTTTCTACCATGTAGGTCTTGGAGATCAAACCTAGGTTTTCAGGGTTGGTGCAAAGTACCTTTACCCAATGAATTGTCTCACTGGCCAGAGGTTAAAAATGTAACTGAAGAGGGCTGTTAGTGGGGGGCATTCAGCTTCATACCCTTGCACAATTTACTCCTTCTTGGGTACAGCTTCCTCACTGAAGTTAGCCTCCCTCCAGGCTGGAAGTGGGTGGAACTTGTTCATGGTCTAAGGGTCCTGTCTCCCAGAATCCTCACCCTCCCTGTTTGTCCTGTGGTGGAGGTTTTTCACTCTGGGAACATATAGCCTATCTTTTTTCCAAAAAATTAATTAATTAATTAGTATATGCCTGCCTGCCAGAAGAAGGCGCTACCATGTGGTTGCTGGGGTTGAACTCAGGACCTCTGAAAGAGCAGCCAGTGCTCTTAACCTCTGAGCCATCTCTCCAGCCCCCATATAGCCTATCTTGAACCATTTTACAAGAATAGTTTCTCATTATTGTGATAAAGCATCCAGTGGCGTTGACTCATCTGGGAGGAGGTATTTGCTTTGCTCATGATCTCAGGGGTTCAGTCAACAGTCACCTGGCCCCATGCTTGGGCCAAGCATCATGGCAGTGGAGTGTGACAGAGGAGAGAAGCCCACTTGGGAACCGACTGGGCGGTAGAAAACATCTAACAAGAAAGGATCAAAGCTCTTGCTGCAGTGACCTGCTTCCTCCAGCTGGGCCCACTGCTCAGTGATTCCACAACTTCCCAAAATAGTGCTGCCATCTGGGAACCAAGTCTCAAGCATGGGTTTATGGGGGGGCATTCCAGTTTTATACCATAGCAAGTGGCAAAGAATCTTGCGTGTCTTGCAGTAGTTGCTAATTTGAGTTTCTTTTTCTTGCCACAAAATATGCATGTGCTAGGTCCCAGTTAACTATTTATTATTATTATTATTATTATTGTTATTATTATTGTGTGTGTATGCATGACATGTTTGGACACAGACAGCACATTACACACTTAGAGGCTTGAGAACAGCATTGTAGAGTTGGTTCTTTCCTTCCATCTTTGCATAGATCCCAGGGTTCAAACTCGGGTCACCAGGGTTGTGCAACAAGCTTCCTTAATCACTGAACCATCTCTCTAGCCTCTGAACTAGATTTTACCTTAAAAAAGAGAATGGGCTGACTAAAGGATGTGATCCTTGGTAGGTCGAACCTGCTCCAGTGAAAGTCACATGTGGGCATGCACAAACTGTTCTTGTTAAGGGTTTAACATAAGGGAGATGCATAGTTGGGTAGGGAAGGAGTGGTCTGAGAGGATTGGGGGGAGGGATGTGATTATTTTCAACATATATTGCATGAAATTCTCAAAGAATTAATATTAGGAAAAATTTGAGCTCCATTTGAGAGAGAAAGGTAGAGGGAGGGAGGGGGAGAAAGAGGTGGAGGGAGGGCGGGAAGATGGAGAAAAGGAGAGAGAGAGAAGGCAGAACTGCATACAGCTCTGGCTATGGCTCCGGATGGGGGTGGAAGGCTGCATCACGTCTCTGTGGGTGACTGGCCTGTACTAGCGAGGTGTCCTGGGCATCTAATGTCACATCTCTGAGGGTGACTGGCCTGTACTAGGGAGGTGTCCTGGGTATCTACTGTACATGCTTCTCATGACCAGCACCAGGTAGCTGGGTGGGCACAGAGTGATTCCACCTTCCCCGCTCTGGCAGGAGCAGCTAAGCTGACCTGGGCCTTAGAGGGGCTGTGGGCTAGTATTGTAGCCTTTCTCTTTCTCTTCCAAGGTCCTGCTGTCAGGGATGCCAGCCTCCCACTTAGAGAGGCTGTCCAGGAGTAGCCAGTGGGTATTCAGCCTTGGCCTGGGCAGACTGTGAAGTAGAGCCCTTGGTGCTTCTGAAACTTCAATCTGTCTGTTGAGCCCCCTGGGAGGATGGTCTCCATGAAGCCCTGCTGCTAGCCTCTTTAAAGTTCCTTCACACTGTTATCAGCTCCAGTTCATAGCTGATGCAGGTGTGGCCCAGGCAGTGTGTCCTGTGTCTACAGAGTAGGAACGGTTTCTCAGGCACCCAGAAATTCTGCCTTCCTGGGTTTATTTTGAAATAACTAAAATTTATTTTTGTACTGTTTTTCCAATTTATCCATGAAGCACGAGTTTCCCCAGCTGACTGACATATCTGGCTAATTCTAGGCTGGCCATGTCTGTGGAGATGATGTTGACATCATAGATGGACGGCCCACGGGCTCTGTGAGGGTTTCCTTTGGATACATGTCCACACTAGAAGATGCCCAGGCCTTTCTCAGGTTCATCAGAGCAATCTGCCTTCGCTCGCCCGGTGACCAGTCTGTTTCCCAAGCTAGCACCAGTGGAGCCTTATCCTCAGGAAGTGACTGTCACTCACCTCCGGAAGGTGCCTGCACAGACCCTACAGTTTGCAATGACTCCTGTCCTGCTGCAAATACCGTGGACCTGGACCGGTCTCTGAGCAAAGCCAGCAGCATCCAGCAGACCCTTCCAGAGGAAGCTGCAGGTATCCCGAATGGGGACCTTGGGTCCCACATTGTCACCAACATTTACCTCTACCCCATCAAATCCTGTGCTGCGTTTGAGGTAAGGGCTTCACAGAAATGGCTGCCTTGTTCCTTTCTCTGAGCACCGTTCCTCCCTGCCCCCTCTTTTGGGAGGCTGTGTACAACCCTTTTCTTCCTTTTTGACAAGAAGTGAAAGAGCAATGTAGCAAGTGAAGAAAAGCAGGGCAAAACTCAAGACAGAATGTTGTCCTTGGAAGAGACATTTTCCTCCTGAGTGTCTTGATAGGGTTGAATTTTTAAGTCTGATACTGCTTGTGAGGACCACCAGAGGACCCTGGGTTTGTGTGCACATGGGTTCATATGTGTATGGAAGTGTGTATACATGTGTATGCATGCATGTAGAGGCCAGAGGACAATGTTAGCTGCCGTTTATTGGGTGCCCTCATGTTGCATGGTGAGGGCCCGTTTGTTCGTCCTGGCTGCCCGGCTAGCTTAGTCCCGAAATAACCCTACAGAAATTGTGTTAATTAAATCACTGCCTGGCCCATTATCTCAAGCCCCTTATTGGCTAACTCTCACATCTTGATTTAACCCATTTCTATTAATCTGTATATAGCCACGTGGTAGTGGCTTACCCGGAAAGATTCAGCATGTCTGATTCTGGTGGCTCCATGGAGGCTCTCTCTGTCTCTCCTTTCTTCCTCCCAGAATTCAGTTCTGTCTTCTCCACCTACCTAAGTTCCAGCCTTTCAACTAGGTCAAGGCAGTTTCTTTATTCATTAACCAATGAAAGCAACACACAAACAGAAGGAACTCCTACACCACCCTACTCTCACCTTGATTTTGGAGACCGAGCCTCTCACTGGCCTGGACCTCTCTTTGTAGGCTCAGTGAGTGATCAGCTGGACTCGGTCATTTTCCTGTCTCCACCTTCCCAGTGCTGGGGTTACAAGTACATGCCACCCCACCTAAGTTCTTACCCAGTGTTTTCCTGGGGACCTGACTCGGTTTGCTTGCATAGTAAACACTTCACCAGCTGAGCCACCTCTCTAGCCGAGGCCTAACTGCCTGAGACTGTAGCTGGGTGGATGTTCGGGGCTTTTTGCTGAAGCAGGTGAGGTGTCTTGTTTCATTTGACCCATAAAATGGTTACATAAGAGGCATAGTAACAGTATCCCTAGGTCATCGCCCTGGAGCCTGAGAGGACCAAGATTAAACACCTTGTCTAGGCCACCTGCAAGAATTGGTATCTGGGTCTGCCGACCCAGGCTCACACTCTCCTGTGACTCCTCTGCCCACCCCATGAAAATAAACTGCAGTGGTCATTGTGACCCACGGGTTTTGTGTCGATGGAGTCAACCAATGACAACCCCCAAATATTAGGAAAAGTTGCAGTTGTTACGCTACTTCCTAAGCAACATGGCAGCTATTCACGGAGCACTTGCATCATGTCAGATAATGTAGGTAACTTAGAGATTTTACAGGGAGATATGCACAGGTGGTATGCAAACCTTATGGTTTAAGAAGAATGGTTTGGGCCTCCATAGACCGGGGTATTTTTAGGGGATCCTGGAAGTAACCTTTTGCAGATACTGAATTACTTCACACCACACAAACATGTTGTTGTGGTGATCCTTGCATTGGGGACAGGTAGCATGCCTTGACTGGCAGTCAACCTTAGTTACCTAAAAGATGATCTTCCTTATTGTGGCCAACATGACGCTGCAAAGATCCAAGACTCCTGATCTCACTCTGGGGTGGCACAGTCTCTGGGGTGGTACGGTCTCTGGATGCACAGTCTCTGGGGTGGCACAGTCTTAGGGATGGCAGTCAGTCTCTGGGGTGGCACAGTCTCAGTCTGGCACACACTGGGATATCACAATGTCTGGGATGGCACAGTCTCTGGATGGCACAGTCTCTGGGGTGGCATAGTCTCCTCTGGGATGACACAGCCTCCTGGTGGTTCTATGGGAGACTGGATGTAGAAAATGTCTCTCACAGGTTCATGTGTCTGAGCACCTCGTCCCCACTGGTGGTGCTGTTTTAGGGTGCTCTAGGATCTTTAGGGGGTGGATTCCAGCTGGAGGAAGTAGTTCTTGAGATCCACAGCCTAACTGGCTTCTGTCCCTCCATGGCCTCCTGGTCTGTGGAGATGTGAGCAAACAGTCTCAGACTTTTGCCTCTATAGGCTCAAGCTGTCCCCACCATGATGGGTTGTACCCACAAACCCTGAGCCCAGACAAACTGTTTCTCCTTTAAGCTGCTTCTTGCTTTCCCTTTTGCTTTTCCAGATGGGTCTGTCCACAGGTCAAGCATAGGAGAGATACACCAGAATTCTGGGGCTCGATAAGGGCTGATTTTGTTTTCCTTCAATCCATTTTCTAAGGAGTCTCAATCCTTTTGGTTGTAATTGGTGTTGGGATATAAGACCTGGGTATATGAATGCGCTTTGTGTTTAAATTCTGTACAAATATGAACAATGCAGGTTTGATGTTTTATTTTTATTACCAGCTTGATGTGAACCAGAGTTACATGGGGAGAGGAAATATCAGTGAGGAATTATCTAGATGTGGAGTGTTTCCTTGATTGTTAATTGAGGTGGGAAGATCCACTATGAATATGGGCAGAACCGTTTCCTGGGCTGGGCCCTGGACTGTGTAAGAGGAAAGCTATCTGAGCATAAGCAGGAGGCAAACAGGCAGCATGGGTGCATTTGTTTCTCTCTGCTCTGACTGGACGTGACGTAACCTCCTTGAGCCCCCGCCTCTGGGATGTCCCGGCAATGATGAGCTGTGACATGGAATCATAAGCCAAATAAACCCTCTCCTCCCTAAAGTTGCTTTTGGCTAGGGTTTTTGTCACAGCAATTGAAACTCGGACGGCAAGAAAACTTACACATTTGAAGCGGGCCAGTTCAGTGACTTTTACAGTATAGTCATATGTCTGCAGTGTTAAGAGACACCCAGACCAGCATCCACTGCAGTGGAAGGCTATACAGAAAGTGGGATCTGGGACATCTATGGGGAGGGATGCTAGCCTCGGGGTTAGAAAAGCATTGCTCTTGTAGCCCCTGCACTCCGCATGCCTTGCATGCACATGCCTTGCCTGGTCAGTGGAGAAGGGTGGAGACTGGTTCTGGAGACGGACAGGAAGGTCCACAGCATCTCCTCTGCAAAACTCTCTCTGTCGTGCATTTTCCTCCTTTCCTCCTCTAAGAGCGCGTGCTGAATTCACAAAGGTCATCTGTATTTGTGTAATGTTGTGAATGACTTTGAGGAGCCCTGGCCTAAATCCCCTACTTCTGCGTAGGTGACCAAGTGGCCTGTAGGGAGCAAAGGGCTGCTGTACGACCGGAACTGGATGGTTGTGAATCACAATGGCATTTGTCTCAGTCAGAAGCAGGAGCCACGGCTCTGCCTGATCCAGCCCGTCATCAACCTGCAGCAGAGGATCATGGTCATCAAAGCCAAAGGTATGAAAAGGGTTCCTCTCCACAGGGTGATCTCTAGGGACAGATTTCATCCTCTAGTTAAAAATCAAACCAAACCAAAAGGCTCGATGTCTCTCTTCTACCAAATGTTAGCATCATTTTCTAGTAAATGAAATGATGTCCAGGAAAGACAACAAAAGCCTGTGCTCTTTCTTACTTTGAGAAGTTTGTCAGAGGGAAGGGGATAGAAACCTGGGATCATAGGGCTCTTCACACTTGCATTTCCATTTTTCCCCACCAGGCCTTGTATTTTAGGCTTCAGTTCTTTCCTCTTGAATTTTACCTTGAGCCATGCACACACTGAAGAGGGGCACTTTCTATGATGATGGGAGGGTTCAGCATCTATACTGTAAAGTCTGGCAACCGCTGGCCATATGTGGCCACTGAATCATCAAACTGTGGTCAGAAGACACCAGAACTGAATTTCAAACGTATTAAATTTTTTTTTGTTTGTTTTGTTTTTTGAGACAGGATTTCTCTGTAGCTTTGGAGTCTGTCCTGGAACTAGCTCTTGTAGACCAGACTGGCCTCGAACTCAGAGATTTGTCTGCCTCTGTCTCTCGAGTGTTGGGATTGAAGGCATGCACCACCACCACCCGATTCAAATTGTATTAAATTTTAATTCATCTAAATAGCTGCATGTGGCTTACGGTTACAGTGTTTGCCACCATAGAGGCAGAAAATAGTATTTAATATACAACTCTGCCATTCAATTTTTAACAAATTTAACACTTGGTTTAATTTCTTAAGATTCTTTCTTTCCTATATTTCTTTTTCTTTCTTATAAAAACCATAGTATGTGTGTGAGTGTGGCTGCCCATGTGCTATGGCATGTATGTGGACATCACAGAACCACTTTCAGGGAGTCAGTTCTGTCCTGTCTCTCTGGTTTCTGCTGTTGTGCTGGGTACCCCAGGCGAGCAGGTCTTCGAGCTTCTGATTCTCCTATCTGCTATTCCCATCCCGTAGTAAGTGTGCTGAGATGACACATGCAGGCCACCTATCTGGCCTTCTATGTGCTTTCGGGATCAGACTCAGGCCACCAGACTTGGGTATTAGGCACTTTTACCCACTGAGCCAATGGTAATGATAAAAATTGTTAATACATATATACACACATATGTGCATATTAGATATTACACACATATGTGTATATAATGAATATCTGTATATTTATCTATATATATGTATATATGTATGTATGTGTGTGTGTGTGTGCGTGTGTGTGTGTACCCCTCTGTCCCTCTCCTGCATCTTGCTCTTCCCCGCTTATAGAATATCATGACTTTCCACTCAACTGTGGCTGAACTTTCATGATGTCCTACATCTATGTCTTCATGACTTTGTTTCTTGCCTTTTTTTTCTGATTCTGTGGTTGAGTTTTCCTTAAGTCAATAAGTCAATATTTTAGAGTTCCAAAGAAAATACTGATATTGACCCTTTGTTCTACTGGATGGATTTTAGTACATGTACATATTTGGGCAACCACCCCACAGCACAAGTACAGAAGAGCCTGTCATCCCAGGGGAAGTTCATGGTTCTACCCCTGTGTGGTTTCTCTTTACCCAACCTTAATGTCTGATGAACAAAGAGACTGTGGAGTCAAGGGCATCATGTAGTGTGTGAACTTTAGAAACAGTTTCTTTCACTCAACAAGATAGTTTTGAGACCTACCTGAGTCCTACATGTAACACAGCATGGAACTGCATGTCACTGAGCGGTATCTCTGAGTGTGGATGTAATACAGCGCGTTTGTGCATCATTCATTGAAGGATATGCGAGTTGGTGCTGATTTGGAGGTAGTTTTAAATTTGAATATTTATTTATTAATTTAGTATTTTTGAATAGAAGAATGACACGTTTAAAAAACAAATCTCACCAGATCGTGGTTGCTCATGCCTTTAATCCCAACACTCAGAAAGCAGAAGCAGGTGGATCTCTGTGAGCCTGGTCTCCAGGAGTTCCAGAACAACAAGGGCTACACAGAGAAACCGTGTCTAGAACACCCCCACCCCGCCAAACTCAGAAACCAAGAAAATCAAAACCAAAACAAACTTACTAAAAACAAGTCCCTCTTGCTTGAGTCTCATGTTTCCCATGTCTTCCCAGTCTCTCCAGATACATCTTAGCTTCTCTAAGACATAATATACCAGTAACCTGACCAACTCTTCAGCTACCAATCAACTAAAAAGCCCAGGAGGCCATGGCTGGCCTCAGAGGGTCCTCTCTGCTCTTCCTATAGCTGAAGCTTCCCTGTTTCACTGAGGCACCTTGGTAGCATGGGGTAAACATTAGTGAGTCCTGTTGGAAGAGGCCCCCTACCTCCTCTTCTCAAGGGAACAATGCTTTTGCTCTTGCACTGTTCTGGCCACCCCCAGCCCCCTGACTCAGACTCAGAGGTGCAGCTCTTCTTCACATAAGTGGTCTTGGAGGACATTTGACACAAGCATGCTTGGGTCTCATCATCCATGAATGAGACATATTATGTTAGTAGATTATCTTGTCCTGAATTATTCTTGATGTCTTGAGAAGAAAGTGCTATGTGGCAATATGTTTTTAATACTTTGCTAGGTTTGACTAGATAGTATCATGTTGGCCTTTTTTTTCTAAATTAGTGATGTCAAAACCTGTTCTTCATATATACTTCTTGTTCAAATTCTTGTACCCAGAATATTAATAGCTACTATTTTACCTATTACACATGCATGTTAGTCCTGTATATGTGTGGCGAATATAACAATTGAGAAACATTGGATTTCCTTTCCAACCCCACAAATGCAGCTTTCTAAAGCAATGGTGATTGCTGATGCTTGGATCTAGTCTAATTCTGGAAATGTACACTCACTGCCAGTATCTTTACAGTATCACCCCGCCTGTCTATTTCTCCCATCCTAGTACCAACCAGACTTGACCCTGCTGAGCTTCTGAGACCAGATGAGAGCAGATGCATTTGGGGCAGTGTGGCCATATATTGGCTGTGTGTTTCTAAATGACTTAGGGTAGCTTAGAGAACAATGACCTCCGAAGGTGGAGACTCACAGAGCAGAGAAATCTAGCAGAGCAGTTTGTAGAGGTCCTGGGGACTGTGGGTGTGATGGTCCAGTGTTGATGTTCCACCAGGAAGTTCCTTGAAGCATGCACTAGGGTGCTGATAGTGAGGAAGAAAATCTGTGCTATTCGTTTCTAACAGCCAGACTCATTCCTCATCTAACCAAAGCCCAGAGTCATTAAAATGGATGTTTCCTCATCTAACCAAAGCCCAGTGCCATTAAAAGTAATGTATCTCCTAACAATGAGTGTTCCCTTGCACAGCCGTTCATTTGGTGAGGTGCTGAATTTGCTTCTACCTCTGTTCATTAGGGATGGAGCCTATAGAGGTGCCGCTTGAGGAAGACAGCACGCGGGTGCAGATTTGCCAGAGCAGAGTGTGTGCAGACAGGTGAGCTCTGGAGCAGGTAACATGCATGGCTCCTTGGACACAGTGGCCAGAGGGAGGACAGAGCTTTGCCTTATACTATGGACAGATCTCCCATTCTATCTGTCTCAGGCTCCACTCCAACCACACTGCTTCTTTGTATCCTTTTCACCCAACCAGCAGGCTCCATTTTAATCTGTATTTGCTGCTCTCTCTGCCTGTCATGCTCCCTACTTGTGACTCCTAAGGAGAATTTCCTGCCCCACCAGTCTCACTTTCAGCAGGGAAAGTTTGGGCTCTAGAGCGTCTACATCCCTTGTGACCTACATATGACCTACACCTAAGAACATGGGATAGCAAAACTTCCAGTCATGAAAAACCTGTCTAATAGGTGGGTGGTGGTGGTGCACATCTTTAATCCCAGCACTTGGGAGGCAGAGGCAGGCAGATCTCTGTGAATTCGAGGCCAAACTGGTCTACAGAGTGAGTTCCAGGACAGCCAGGGCTACAGAGAGAAACCCTGTCTCAAAAAAACTTAAAAAAAAAGAAAGAAAAAGAAAAACCAGTCTAAGCTGATACCAACCAACCTCTGTCAATAAAATATGCAGCTATAGGCAGTTCACTAGGGACTTACGTGTAATAGGCAGGAGCTGGGGAGACAGCGAAGTCAATAGAGTGCTAGCCACTCTATCATGAGGATCAAGCTAGGTGTAATGGAACCCTTGTAACTCCAGCACGGGGAGGAGGAGGAAGCATATGACCCCTGGCATTTGCTGACCAGCCCGCCTAGCCAAACTGATGAGTCCCAGGTTCCAGGAGAGACTCTTACAAAAACCGTGGGCTGGAGGAGGGCTCAGTGGTTAAGAACATGTGCTGCTCTTCAAAGGACCTGGCTTTGGCTCCCAGCACCCACATGGTATTTTATAACCATCTGTAACTCCAGTTCCAGGGGTCTGACATCCTCTTCTGAGGTTAGCAGACACAAGGCATATAGGTGATGTACATACATGCACACAGGCCCAGGTTCATAAAATAAAAGTAAATTTTTTTTTTGTTTTTCAAGGGTTTCTCTGTAGCTTTGTAGCCTGTCCTGGAACTTGCTCTGTAGACCAGGCTGGCCTCAAACTCACAGAGATTCATCTGTCTCTGCCTCCCGAGTGCTGGGATTAAAGGCATGTGCTACCACTGCATGAAAATAAATAAATCTTAAAAGAGACATATAGTTAACCAATTGAAGTTTTTAAGGAAATAAAGGTGGATGGCTCCAGAGGAAAGATACCCAAGTTTGACCTCAGGAGTCTACACAGACACACATATGCACATACTTGCACACATATGTGCACCCCCAGAGCAAGCATGCATATCTACTCACCTATCCCCCACCCCATAACATCTAGACTATGAATTATCTATTAATGATTGCAAACTTTCTGATGGAAAGAAATACAGATAGCAAACGTGTTTCCTCTGCAATGGCTGTGAATTCAGTCCCCCAAGTCATGACGGGATTTGCTAAAGGTCCATCCAAAGTGAGCTCAGGTGACTGTGTCAGTCACCTTTTCAGGGCTGTGACCAAAATGTTGGGAAGAGCCACAGAGCGGAGCAGGGCTTATTTTGGCTTTTGGTTTGAAGGTTCGGTCCCTTCTGACTGGAAAGGAATGGTGTCAGAAATGTCCGCTGGCAGTGGCAGCCAGAGTTCAAGGGTGCTCAGTCAGAAGTTGACAGGTGGAAAGCAAAGAAGAGAGAGTATAGCTATTGTGGTGGTTTTCTCCTGTCTGCCTGTCACAGGTAGGGACACCAGCCACTGGGTTTGACATACTCAGGGTGTGTCTTCCCTCCCTCAGTTGATCTCCGTGGAAGCTCTGTCATGGAAATGCCCTCACAGGCATGCCTAATGCGGCAACTCACTAATGTCCCAGTGTTTTTATCCCAATCAATAACCAGCCAGCCTTAGCCACAGAGCGTGACAGGCAAGGCTCCCTCTAGGACTTGGAGTACTACACCACTGTGAAAGAAGAGAAAGGCGCTAATGTGGTGTTGATGGCCAATTGCATGTCTCTCTCTTGGCAGCTGAAATGTTGAGCACAAGCGACGTCTTCTTGCTGGTAGTGTTCGTACTGTTTAAGCAGTTTTGACAATTTAAATATTCATCCCGGTACATTCATCAGGACAATGAATCTCAGGCAGACGTTTTTCCCCACATTGCTATACACTAACCTTCTGACAGGAAGAACTATATTTACATAGGGATATGTGTAGTTATTTTCATTATTTGTGTGTGTCTGTGTATGTGTGTTTGCATGTGCCATGACATGAGGCCAGAAAAAAACTTCTAGAAGTTGGTTTTCTTCCTCCACCATGTAGATTCTGGGGATTGACTCAGGCCAACAGGATAGGCAGTGAGTGCTTTAGCCCACCGAGCAGTCTTGCCTGTCTAGAATATGTGCAGTTTTTTTTTTTAAACTAGGTCATCAATTTAACTTGGCCGCAGTTGAGATGAACACTGTGTCCTGGTTAATAAGGCTTTTCAGATATCTGGAGGTTGGAGGCACTTCGGCTCAGAGAGCCATTGCGATGACTGTGATCTTGGTGTAGTCTCTGAAAGCACAGGGTTGGCGGGGAGGGAGGACAAGCACTACAAACTGGTTTCTTGGTCCCTGGTCTTCCTGGAAAAGGAACCAGCTATTTTCTCCAGTGAAATTTAAGTTTTTAGCAGTATCTGCTTTGTAACCCTAAGATACTGTGATCCCAAGGTAAGATGTGGCCTTAACTCTTTGTGATATTCAGTTTTAAAGACTCTAGAGTAGTCTAGAGTTTTGTTTTATTTCATGTGCATGAGTGGTCTCTATTTGCACATCGTGCATTCCTGGTGCCCTTGGAAGTCAGAAGAGGGCACCAGAGCCCCTGCACTGAAGCTATAGACAGTTGTGAGGTGTCTTGTGAGCTCTGGGAGCTGAACTCGAATTCTCTGGAAGAGCAGCAAGTGCACCTAACAATTGAACTGCTTCTTCACCTCCGTATTCCATAATTTAAAACACAGATCAGCAGGTTTACTTACACATCAGTACCTTATATACACAGCATTGAAGGCTGTAAATGAAACACATCAGCCCACATAATCTGAGTGTCAGAGAAACTGTTCCATCAGCCCATTGTAAAAACCAGGACGTGATTCTGGGTGGAAGACCTTATTATGCAAAATATCACTCCGTAAATCTCAAACCCTGAGCTTTGTGCTCCCAGGGTTAGTATTTAACATGGAGAAGATCTTCGGGAGTCCCTGCAAAGCTTTGGTCAGCTCTGAACGCCTCCCGTGAGTCCCACCTCAAAGACCTTCTTGGTCCTGGGAGATATCTGGGTAGCTTTCCAAGATGTTTGCTGCTTCAGGCTGTCTGCTAGTAGGGACTTTGAAATGTTTTCTTTTGTGTTCTTATTTTAATTTGAATGTTTTCTATTTGAATAATCATTCAAAGAATTGCTACAAAAATTTACCGTCTTTGTGATTTTTTTTTTTTTTGCCAGGGTAAATACTTATGACTGTGGAGAAAATGTTTCAAAATGGCTGTCTAAGTTTTTTGGCCGTCCATGTCATTTAATCAAGCAAAGTCCTGACTTCCAACGAAATGCAAGGAAGACACCTGGAAAAGGTATGACACTGGGATCGGGTATTAAAGGGCTGGAGCCCTAGTTATTCTGCATGGGTCACGCTCAGCCCAGAAAGTGGATTCACTGGGCAATGGGCTCCTGACATCATCTTGTGGCTGCAAGACACACTGCAGAGTTCTAACCTGGGAGTTTTGTGACCTCCCTTGAGGCTTGGAGCACAGCTTCATTGCAGTAGGAGACACGGGAGCATAGAACCACAGCTGGCACTTGGGGAAGAAGCAGGCCTGGGTGCATCAACGGTGGTGGGCACAGAGGAGAGGAGAGGCCTGTGGGCTGCACAATGTGGAGCCAGAACCGGATCGTGGCGCTTATGCCTGCGTCCAGGATGCCCCTCCCGGTGCAAAGCTCCCTGGGTCTAGCTGGCCTTCCACCAGTTTTGTGTTTGGAGAATTTAGGAAAATAATTAAGTTTCATTATTCCCCAGAGGATTCTTACATTTTCATCTAAAGTTGTGAAGGTAGTTTAAACAGCTGCAAAAGATGGTATCTGTAGAACATTTCATTTGTTTTTTGTTTTATCTGCTTGCGTGTCTGATGTCTGTGTATCATGTGTGTGCAGTGCCCTTAGAGGCCAGAAGTGGGAGTCAGATCCCCTGGAAATGGAATTGAAGACAGTTGTTAGCCACTGTGTGAGTTTTAGGACCTGCCTGGCTCTCTGGAAGAACAACTCGTGCTCTTAGCTGCTGAGCCATCTCCAGCCCTGCAGCACATCTGACTTAGTGTTATTTTGAGTTGAAACTTGTACAGGAGTTTTACCACCATGGTCACAGCTATTTGAGTACTGTGATAATCTTCTTAATGCCATAGCTATTAAAATGTCATGAATTTTCATTAAAATATGTGAGTATGTGAACATATGTGTATGTGTCTATATGTACATACATGTATGTATATAGCTCATGTGTGTGTCTTTTTAATGTCTATATGGCATGTGTGTGTGTTTGTGTGTATGTATGGTGTGTGTGCATGAGTATGTGTATGGTGTGTTGTAAATAGTGTGTGTGTATGGTATGCATTACACAGTGTGTGTGTATGGTGTGTGTGTGTATGGTATGCATTATAATGTGTGTGTATGTACGGTGTGGGTGTGGGTGTGGGTGTGCATGCACATGTGCATGTGTACCTTGCTTGAGGCAGAGTCTCTGGCTCACTGTTGCATGATGGACCTCAAGCTCCTAGGAATTCTGGTCTTGCCTCCCATCTCACCTTAGGTGTGTAGGAATCACAAATGTATACCACTGCATCTAGCATTGCATGGGTCCTGACAATCTGAACTTCTGCTTTCATGCATGCTTTATTCACTGAGCCGTCTTCCCAGAGACAGGGTTTCTCTGTGTATCCCCGGCTGTCCTGCAACTAGCTCCATAGACCAGGCAGGCTTCGAACTCACAGAGATCCACCTGCTTCTGCCTCCCTGAGTGCTGGGATTAAAGGTGTGCGCCACCACACCCAGCTTTTATTTTGTTTTGTTTTCAAGAAAGAGTTTTTCTCTGTGTAGTCCTGACTATCATAGGACTAGCTCTGTAGATCAGGCTAGCTTTGAACTCAGGGATTTGCCTGCCTCTGTCCCCCGAATACTGGGATTAAAGTTGTACCTCCATGCCTGGCATTTTAATTCTTTCCTTTTCCTTTTCAAACTTGGATTTCATTTCTTTTCTTCAGTGGAATCTTGTCTTAGGGTTATTTTATTCATGGAAATATTTTATTGGCCACCTCACATCTCTACAAAACTAAAAAAGAAATAATAGAAACATATACAAAGACTTTGAAGTTTGCTTAGACCATCTGGGTCTAAGGGTTAGGAAATTTCTAGATGAAGTTCTTATAATTCTAACAGTGTCTAGTCAATCAAAATATCATAAATACATTTTAAAAATAATTATTGAACGTAAAGAACAAATCTTGGAACTCTGTTACTGGATACCTGGGCTCTGGTTTGGTTTCCACATTTGGGAGTGGCTGTCATTCACAGACAGGCCTGGGAGCGCTCAGCACCACCCACTTCTGGGAAATCTCATCAAGCAAGAAGAGCTGGGATCTTGGTTAGCTGCTTCGCACACTGCCGCTCAGGCCTTTCTTTTGAGGTCGGTGACCGGAGCACAGGGTCCTAACGTGAAATGCCTTTCATCTCTGTCACTCGACAGCTTAATTAGGTCCTGCAGTTCCGCAGCCAGTAAAGGACTGGACTATATCTGACCTCTGGGAGGATCTTTTGCCCAGGCTGTGGAGCCTCCCGCCGCGGCTCCAGGGTTTGAATGGGATTTTTGTTTGTCATCTGGAGGTGGTCAGCCCCGGTGCAGTGTGCCTTTCCTCTGTGACAGGGGAGCGGGCCCTTTGTAGAGGATGGCCTGGCACCTTCCTTCTTAGGCAGACCAAAGAGGACAGAGGGAGTGGACCACATACTCCGGAGGCCACAGTCCCTGCTTGAAGACCCAGCCAGCCCTTTTATGACCAACTTGGATAAAAGTAGAAGAACTTTAGTTTCTTTCAATAGTTTTTCTTCCTTTTCAGTAGCTTTGAATCTTCTGGTTATTTCTCTATAAGTACAATGTACAAACCCACTGGTTGCTGAGTATCTGCTTCTGTTTATTGCCAAAGACTGTTTGTTTCTCTCTCTCTGTGTGTCTCTCTTTGTCTCTCTGTCTCTCTGTCTCTCTCTCTTCCTTTAAGTACTTTGTGGTGTTGGAGAGATGACTCATTGGTTAGAAGTATTGGCTGTTGAGGGGTCAAGAACACCACAAGAAAACCCACAGAATCAACTAACTTGGGCTCATAGAGACAGAACTGACAACCAGGGAACCTACGTGGTCTGACCTAGGCCCTCGGCCTATATGTTATGGGTGTGTAGTTTGGTCTTCTTGTGGGACTCCAAACAGTGGGAATGGGGGTGCTGTCTCTGACTCGTTTGCCTGCTTTTGGGACCCTTTTCTTTCTACTGGGTTACCTTGCCCAGCCTTAATATGAGGGGAGGTGCCTGATCTTATTGCAGTTTGATATGCAATATTGGTTGATATCCCTGGGAGGCCTTTTCTTTCTTTCTTTCTTTCTTTCTTTCTTTCTTTCTTTCTTTCTTTCTTTCCTTTTTTTTTTTAAAAAGGGAAACAGAGGAGGAGTGGATTGAGGTGGGGACTGTGGTTGGTATGAAATATATAATAGAAAATTTTTTAAAAAGGCACTGGATGCTCTTCCAGAGGACCCAGTTTCGATTTCTAGCACCCACATGGTGTGTCACAACTATCTGCCACTCCAGTCTCAGCTGATCCAAGGCCCTCTTCTGGCCTCCATGAATGTGTAGGCAAATACCCATATGAATTAGTACACACACGCACACACACACACACACACACCACATATACACACACACCACATACACAATACACACATACACACCCTACATACATACAAACATACACACACATACACACACACACACACACACACACACACACACACAAATATAACTGATGGAAGTTGTAAGCCTGTATACATTGCAAGCCTCTCTGTTTTACCCAGTGTAGGCAGGGCTCACTCCAGCCCTGCACTATTGCTTCCAAGATTTGTCTCTGACTCTGAGTGTGGTGGCACATGCCTGGGGCGGTAGAGACAGGAGGATTGGGAACTTGGGGCCTGCCTGACTGTGTAACAAGACCCTGCTTCAAAAACAAAACTCTTGGTCAGAATAAATTCACTTCAGCATTTTATTATTATCTTCTCGGGATCATTTGAAGCAGAGACCTAGCATATTCTAGGACTGTTAGCCCTGGGATTACAAGCAGGTGCCCCTGAGAGAGGCTTTTTACATGAGTGCTGGGCATCAGCTTAGGTTCTCCAGCATGCACCGCATGATCTTCTTTGTTCTGTCTTTGGAGAGGTTTGAGCCGTGCTTAGAACAGTCTCGCTTTCCCCAGTGCTGATGTTTTCCCTCGTGGAAGGCATCTGCCTTTATAAACCTCAGGCCTTGGGGATGAGAGGCGGCAGCGTTGCCTGGAAAGCAACCCTTCTTTCCCTGCTTCCCTTCCAGGGCCGTCTCCTGGCACCGCCGCCACCCTGTCCCTGGTGAATGAGGCGCAGTATTTGCTGGTGAACACATCGAGTGTTCTGGAGCTTCAACAACAGCTAAATGCCAGGTAAGACCCTTTCCCTGGGGACAGGAGAGACATGTATAACTCTTTACCCTTGAGGGGCCTGGTACCTACCTGGGAAAGAAAGATCTGGGAGTTGGTGAGTCCAGACCCTTCAGTTACAGGTGAGAAATGAGGCCGGGCGAAGTCAGCGAACACTTTGGGAAATTCTTGTTTGTCTGCCTGCCTGCCTGCCTGCCTGCCTTCCTTCCTTCCTTCCTTCCTTCCTTCCTTCCTTCCTTCCTTCCTTCCTTCCTTCCTTCCTT